AGAAGTCTACCTTTCGTTTTTTGGCTGCAGCAAAGGTGTCCATTATTCTGTTGACGAAGTTGGGGATGTTGTCAGAGATGTCCTTGTGGATCGACGTATAAACGTCAACGTGATTACTCGGATTTTGTATTTCTCTAAATGTTCTGTTGAGTTTTTCGTCCTCCAGAGTTGAATGAGGCCCTCGATTGTACGACACTGAGAGGACTTAAATGTTTCATTGCAATAGAATATTTGAAATTCTGTTTGTAACTTGAAAAACAGTAGCTTTCTGCTATACAATCCAACAGAACTGTAGGAAAAGAATTTTGATAGTCTTGGAATTTGGAGGGATCGACGAATAGCAGTGTATTGATTTTGTTTTGCTTCCAGAAACTGTCAACAATTTGAGAAACTATTATGTCACAGGCCTGCTTTGCAACAATTTCGTTGGTGTTGTAACGTCTGCGCCTCTTGGAAGCGTGTTTCTCTGTGGTCTGTTTTGTTGATAGAACGCGTATAATGTTTCTGATTTCATTGACGGCTACTTTAAACGTGTCTAGAGCTTGTTAGGTTGCTATGGGCGTTGTACTTCTGTGTTAGAGGATCCCATAAACAGCGTCAACGCGCGTGAACATTTTGTTGAAAAAGTGCAAAAAGAAGAGAAATGTTTCGCTCTTTAATACATCCAAGACATCATCGTGGATGGAATTATCGTCCCACTGCTCACACTGAATGTCTGCAAGACAAAGCTGGATCTCTCCTTTCCAAATGAAGACTGTGCTAATTAGTCGAGGCTGGAAATTCCACTTTGTTTCAGACGGCCATGGAATATTCCGGTGACAAACGCGTCTGAGAACGCCGATGAATTTTGTAGAGTGGGCAACAAATGTCGAAGAGCCTGCAGTGTTAGCGAAAAATATCCTGCAGTCTGATATGCTCTGTACAAGCGTGCTTTAAAAGAAGATTGAACTGATGCCCAATGAACAAAGACAGCATAAGGGAAACATTGGCGCATCTGAGTCTGTACACCAGAGACTCTCCCGCTCATTCCAGCTGCCCCATCGTAGGTTTGGCAGATCAGCTTCTCCTCCACGCGGAATTGTTCTTGGCTAAAGCTTCGTTTAGGGTTGAAACGAGCCCTGATAAAGTTCTGTCTTGGGCTTCAAAAAACTTCAGAAACCGCTCTACCCGTTTTTCGTCCTTAATTTACCTCAGAATGGTCACACACTGTGACAAATGACCAACATGAGCTGCTTCGTCAGTCTGGACAGAAAGAAAGTTGACAGAGTTTTTGTCTTTATTCACTTCTTGAAGGTATATTTTGAAAATACAGTCCAGCACTTCGTTTTGTATTATTTTGGAAGTACATTTTGCAACAGTAGCGCTCTGTAGATGATCAAACAGTATCCGGCCAGTGTCACCGTCTCTGTGCAGCAAATCCAGAAAGACACCCCTGTTCCCTGACAAATCGCCTTTTCGTGACCGCGAAGGGCGAGTTGGTGAGTTCTATAAAACAAAATACACCCGATGACCTTACACACTATGTGCCTGTTCTTTCTCACCAGTTCGTGATTGTGAGACGTTGCAATGCGCTGACCAACGACTAGCTGCGCTGCTATGTCTACTTGTCCGAAAGTATGATACTTAACGGCTTTGTTTACGTGCGCTCTTGATGACTCGTGACTTTAATGCGTTGTTTCACATGGACAAGATCAGTAAAACCTGTCTTAGACTACTTGGGGTCCTCGGTTCCAAAAAGCAGACAGGAGAAACAGTACTTGTGATCCTTATTGAAAACGCTATTGCACTTTTTTGTTGCTTATGTTATTTTTGTATCTTTTGGTTGGTGCGGTCCTAATTCTTTCTCTCTCTCCATGTCACTTTGGTCTAGAGAACGCAATTTATTTGCAAGCAAAATATCAACTTCATTAATACTGCATTTGAATTACACACCCAGGTAATGAATCTTTCACTACTACACCATTCCATGTAAGGCTCTTTTAACACAGTGACCTAAATACTTTATGTTGACCTCGCTCAAGTTCAAGATTACAGAGGTGGGGCCAGAGATATAAATGACAAGACAATGGACCAATCGCACATCACTATGAGCACTCAGGTGCATTGCTCCGAAGCTATCATAATACGGGCATTGAATTGTGTAGGCTATCGTGAACTAGTCTGAGATCGTGTTATTTTTAGACTGCCTCTATGGGCTTTGGTCGGCTGGTGCACATTGAGATTGTGCCGCCTTATTAATATTTATGAACTAAAAAACTCGGTCAAAACGTCATCGTTGTTTGGATCAGCCCATAGAGCATTTTCCGAGATAGATTACACCACTGAACAATTGGGTGAAGAGCGAGAAGTTGACATGGCTATTGTAGTAGATCTGTGCTACAGATACACTGATGACGGATTGGGCTGTGGCGAGGAACTTGTGTGGACAATCTATGGGATAGATGGATGTTACAGGCTCTGCTTTTGTCTCTGTGTGTCTGTGTGGGTGTTATGTGCATTCACAGTTTTGGGCGTCTGTGAACGACTATGCTCTATAGGCCACCGCCTCTCGTGCGAACGGTGTGTGTTTGACCAGAAGTGGTCGTTTTGTCAGGGGATTTTAAATTCTGATTCTCTACAGGTCCTAACAGATGGGTTATTTTCACCCTTGACATCAAAAAGGCCTTAGGGACATGTGATTTCCACGCCTTGTGTAAAACTGACGACATGAGTTGGTGGTGAGGAAATGTTCAGTACAAATAGTTCTCTGCTCTTTACTAATCTTAACCATGATCTCAGCTGGCAAAGGAAACTTGAGAAAAACTATCTGCACCCTTCTGTTGGCCTGTCAGACTACTGTAGTTTGCAACATGGCGCGATCGTTGGGATTTTAGTGGTAGACCTAATGCGAACTAGTTCGTCATGCTACACAAATGGGGACATAGCTGAAAACGCGATGTGTAGATAAAAACAAATCTGAGGATTTGTCCAAAATGAAAAAGGTCAAATTTCTTCTGACTCCAAAATCTTGTGTACAAACTTGAAGCACAAAAGTCAGTGTGGAGGAAAATGTTTACACCGACAGAAAGTAAACTTGTTGTTTTTGTATCACACTGTTCTTGACAATAAGTTGTGCCACGAATTTTTGACTGCACTATATAGTGCTTTGTCCCTTTACTGACACTATTTTGTGTTTTTCACTCCTCCCTCTTCCTCTTCCTCTCCCCTCCTCCCCTCCCCTCCACTCCACCCCCTCCACCTCTGCTCCCCC